AGTCTTACGTATCAGAGCAATGACACCGACTCGAACTACTGAAGGTCAACCGCATTCACTCTGGATTACCTGCACGTTACCAACATAAGGGTAACATTTAAACAGAAGGGTGAGATATCAAACACTATAATAGAACGTATGATAAATATTATATTGGAATTAGTTCATGCAAAAATCACCACTTCACATCTTATAAACAACCACAATCACAACAGGCTATCAACAAAATACAACAATTAATTCATCAACACAACAACTCAACCATACTACTTGGAATGCGAATCAATACTATGCGAATACATGTGGTACCATTGGAGCATAACTACCATCTTAAAAACGGAGCAGAACTCCCATCTTAATAATTTCCAATTAATAGAGGCATCAACAAGGCATAAGCCTTCTTCGCAGTTTGCTAATCCAGGCCATCACAGAGTATGCAAATGTATGTGACTCAATGAATGCACTATCACATACTCATAACAATCATCATCCATCGCAAGGCATAAGCCGACATCACCATTATTACCAGTAAATAGAGGTAATTCATCATCATGTGAATTCCCTACAACTTCACATTATCAACGAGAATTCACAACAGCAATCACAACATCACATCAACTCAACATAAGTCAACATTGTCCATAAGCCTATCACATCAATCAACGATTAAATCATTAACATGATTAAACAGAAACTTAACGTAATTCACACAGCATGGTTAACGACCAAAACGTAGCATGTACGAGCATAAGGGATGGGGAACTACGTGCCCCTTGACATGTATAACAACTAGGACAACAAAACAACTAAATTGTACTCCTCGACACGCACATAGAAGATAGGGTAACGACCAACTTATGCTGCTCGACATGTCCTGCAACCTAGTACTGCTCAAAAATCCAACACATGATTCCCGACACGCCTTGCAGCCTAAAATGTCGCTCGATACCTACCTCTTCAGTATCCTCCCCGACCAATAATCCGGCCAACAACACAGGTATGATACAACGTCTTAACGACCACACCACTATAAATCATAACTTTCGTCCAACCTCTCAGAGTAACACAACAACAGGCAACTATATTCCTATCGATAGATTCGTTCATTATACAAGACCGACTACAACAATAATTCCTAACATCGTAAAGACCATGCCACCATAATGACCACAACAACCTAACAACCACAACAACAGGCAACGATCTACACTAACCTACTCATCGATTAAACCGAGCAGTCACACGGATACACAAAACGTCCATAACACACAATCAGGAAACTTCCTAAAATGGATTCATTAAACGGTCATACGGTTCTTCCCAACAGCCACAACATGAATAAACGAGCAACTTCGACAGCAATTTAGAAACATCCACGCACAACAATCATAAAACGACCAATTCCCACGTAATACACATCACAAGTCCCATTATAAGGTCATAACCCACACTTACCTGGATTGAAGGTCGCTCAACCAAAGATTTGACCGTAATCCTTGATTCTCTCTGCTCGACATCGAGCAGCTTGATCCTCGTCCGCGAAGCACTACCGGTCAGCGTACAGAAATCCTTATTCTCCAACTAAAACAAATCCTTGTGTTAGCTTCTCCTTATATATCAATCCTATTGGGCCTAACCTACACCCCAACTTTACTACTTCCAACCAATAGCATAAGTCCAACATTATAAATTCCATTACTTTCAACATTATAATTATTATTAATCAACTAATTAATTAATTAATAATAATATAACAACTTATACCAATAATTCTTAACATCTCGAAACCTCTCAAATAATCCAAAATAATTTAATTCAATAAATAATTAAATTAAATTACGGGCGTTACAACTCTCCCCCACTTAGAATATTTTCGTCCTTGAAAATTTACCTCATTCGAACAACTCAGGATAGGAGTCATGCATCTTGATTTCCAACTCCCAAGTCATGCTTTCTCCGACAGCTCCTAACCAAACTAATTTCACCAAAGCAATCTCCTTGCCTCTTAGAGTCTTCATTTCATGATCTGCAACTCATACAGGCATCGTCTCAACAGTAAGATTATCACGTACTTGTACATCATTCATATGAATCATATGAGATGGATCAGAAATATACTTCTGAATCTGTGACACATGAAACAAATCATGCAAATTTGAAATATTAGGCGGTAAAGCCACTCTATAATCCATATTCCCAACTCTTTCCAAAATCTGATATGGACCAATAAAAGGAGAAGTGAGCTTTTTAGACTTCAATGCTCGCCCAACACCAGTTACAGGTGTAACTCTCAAAAACACATGGTCACCAGCTTAAAATTCCAAATCCTTCCTTCGCTTGTCATGATAACTATTATGTCTACTTTAGGAAGCTTTCATCTTTTCCCGAATTAACTTCACCTTCTCGGTAGTCTCACGAACAAGTTCAGGTCCAAGCACTACACTTTCTCCAAATTCATGCCAACATAAAGGAGTTCTACATCTCCGACCATACAACGCCTCAAAAGGTTCCATCCCAATACTAGAATGGTAATTGTTATTATAAGTGAACTCTATCAATGGAAGATAAGTATCCCACGAGCCTCCCTGCTCAAGAACACATGCTATTAACAAATCCTTCAACGATTGAATAGTCCTTTCTGTCTGATCATCCGTCTGAGGATGATACGCCAAACTCAACCTCAACTTAGAAACCAATGCCTCTTGCAAACTCTTCCAAAAATCAGAAGTAAACCACGGGTCTCAATCCGACACAATGCACAAAGGAACACCATGCAACTTCACAATTACACTAGTGTAAATCTCATTCAACTTCGACATTGGAAAACTGATGTTAATAGGAATAAAATGAGACGACTTCATAAGCCTATCAACAATCACCCAAATCAAATCATGTCCTCTTAAAGTATTAGGTAACTCCATCACAAAATCCATCAAAATGCTATCCCATTTGCATTCTGGAACTTCTAACAGTTGCATCAACCCTGCAGGCTTTTGATGTTCAACTTTCAACTTCTGACAAGTCAAACATGCGTACACAAACTGAGCCACATCACTCTTCATCCCAGGCGGCCAAAAGAAATTCTTCAAATCCTGATACATCTTTGTAGCTCCTGGATGAATACTTAGCTTACTTCTATGACTTTCTTCAAGGATCACTTTTTTCATCTCTGCATCATCAGGAATACAAATCCGATTACGAAATCTCAACACACCTTGCGCATCTAACTTAAAATCACTATTCTAAAACTGATCGATCCCAACCATCAAATCTACCAGTTTCACATCTAACTTCTGAGCTTCTCTAATACTCTCTAGAAATTCATTATTAATCTTCAAAATTCCTGTAACACGTTGGGAGAACTGACTTGGGTGTTTTGCGTTTGATCGCAATTTTTGCGGATAGCAAGAGTCGCCACCGATTTTTCTTTTATCCAATAAGGAAAGATTGAAAAGAACAGGAAATACCTTTCGAGATTATTTCTTGATTTTGGGGGGTAGGTTATGAAAAAGGAAGGTATTATCACTATTTTCATCCGTAGTTATCTACGGGCTCTTAGTTGCTTGCTAGATCACTTGCTTTTTGTTTGAAAATGTGCATGTGGTGTGGGTTTTGAAAGTGTTTTGAAAACGTCTTTGTAATGGCTCTCGTTTTTATAAGAACACGTACAAAGTGTTGGTTTTAAAAAATAGTTCTAAGAGGTGTTTGTGGAATGTGTTTTTGAAAGTGATTTTGAAAAGTGTCTTTGTAATGGTTCTCGTTTCTATAAGAATGCGTACAAAGTGTTTTGTCTTTTGAAAATGTTTCAAAATGAAAGTGTGGGTGTATAAAATGTTTTTGTTGTGAGCAAGCGAGCAACTATGAGCATCCTACCTACTCAAAAACTCTTAATGTTCTTTTCCTCCTCCTTTAGATGTTACTATCTTACCATTGATTTGGTAAGAAGCCCCATCATTGGATGTGAAGGGACGGGCGTGGGACATTTGTATAGTCATAGAAGGCAGCCTATGGGACGTTTTAGCAATGTTGTTTAGGGATTAGATCGTTTACGGAAGGCAACATTGAGGGTCATCGAGGGACTACGATCTTTTATCGAGGGTCTTTGCTAAAACGCCCACATTCGAGGGACATGACTATTTTTCCGAGGCAACAAGTGAGATTACCCTAGGGGTGCATGTGTGTGAAAAGTGTGTTTGATTTACATGCATTTTGTATTTGAACTTTAGGTTATCTACTTGTTGGTTTTTATCTTACCCTACATCCTAATTACTAACATTTGTACAAAAGTAATAAAAATGCAGAAAAATAAATCCTACACTATTACAGTCATATTGAATAGCAAGACAAAATAAAGACAAAATAAAATAAATAAAGAAAAATGATTTTTCGATCTAGGAAGAAAAACCCTTCGATTCTTCCCTTTCTGGCTTCCTTTGATTTAGGCCTGGAGTCAGTGAGGTCATGCCTTTCGATTTGGGCTTAGCCTGAGGCATGAGATGCAACCTTCGATTCTGCCTTTCTGCCTCCTTCGACTGGGGCCTGGAAGTAGCATGGCCATCCTTCTGGCTTCCTCTTTCGTTCAGCATGGAGTTCCCTCTTCACCCTAAGTCCCTTGCTTCCTCCTTCGATTGGGGCTTGGAAGTCATTGTGGAAGCCTAAGGCTTCGTTTCATGCCTCCTTCCTCCTGTTTCTTTCATTTGCGGTTTTAAATAGCAACATGGCCTAAGGCCATGCTAGCATTATCTTATGGACAGGTTACTTCTTAAGGCAAACTACTTTCAATTTCAATACATTAACAATATAATAAATTTAGAACTATAAGTCAATTGTGTTACAAGGAGTCATTATTTCTGGATTATTCTGTGTAGGTGATTGATTGGACTATCAAGATTTGGCCCAATTTTATAACAATTGGACCATCCATTCGATCCATTTTCTTAGACAAACGAATCAAATACGATGAAGATTATGGTGCAACGCAATTCCAAAGTGAAGAATGCATGGAATGGCTTAACAATAAGCCAAAAGGGTCAGTGGTTTATGTTTCTTTTGGTAGTTTAGCATCACTCAATGAGGAGCAATTTGAAGAAGTAGCTTATGGTTTAAAATATTATGAAAGTTATTTCTTATGGGTAGTTAGACCCTCGGAAGAAACCAATCTCCCCAAAGATTTTGAGAAAAAGACACAAAAGGGCTTAGTTGTAACATGGTGCTCTCAACTAAAAGTTCTAGCTCATGAATCTATAGGGTGTCTCGTAACACATTGTGGTTGGAATTCTATTTTGGAAGCTATAAGCTTAGGTGTTCCAATTGTTGCAATGCCACAATGGTCAGATCAAGCTACCAATGCTAAGTTTATTGTTGATGTTTGGAAAATTGGAATTAGGGTTCCAAGTGATGAGAAACAAGTTGTGAGAAGAAGTGGAATGAAAGATTGTATATTGGAAATTATGGATGGTGATAAAGGGATAGAGATTAAGAATAATGTCATGCAATTGAAGGATTTAGCAACAAGTGTTGTTGGTGTTGGGGGAAGTTCTCATTGAAATATTACTGAATTTGTTAATAGCTTATTTCCTTATAAAAGCATTACACAAAGCAATCGGTCACCTGCTTTTATTTTACAATAGTACTTTTACTAGTATATATGTCATGATATGTTTACATATATTAATATATAAGTTGACTGTTGACTTATTATCATGCATGATGTTCACTTTTTCTCTCTCTTTCATATGTAGATGTTTAACGACGTAACCCCATTCCCTGTTGAGAACTTTGTCGATCTTCGTAAATGTTGGGCGTATATCTATAATGTGCTTAAGGGTCCTGCTATTTGATTTATTGAGATGTTCTAATGAATTATTTTCTGTATATGATGATTTGAATATTAATTTTGACTTAAACATATTGTGTTTGATGTAAATATTAATTTTGGCTTTTGGTGCACAATGTTAGTTATTTTTATGCTCTTTATGCATGGTTAACAAAAATACAGGTTATTGTAAATTCTCTGATATGGTTATAATAGTTACAGGATAAAAAATGGGAAGAATTTGAGAAGCAGAGAATTTCATATTTAAAATAGAGGAAGTTTTGACAACGGTTATAAAACCTAACCATGATTGTATATTAAATAGTGACCAGAATAATATAAATTACAAAATATTGATGATGAGAATTGAACATGGGACCTTTAGTTATATCACAATGGTTGGGTTAATGAACCGTTGTGATATGGCGCACACTTTTTAGAACACAACAACAGTCCCAGGATCGTGATTATAAGTACTGCATATACAACCACACGCTACAAAACAACGCCTGGTCCCGTGTGGTTATATATCTTTCCTAACCGTTGTTAAATGTTTTTTACGTAGTAGTGATAGCAATTACTAGTGGAAAGGAATGCCACAAATTCTCTATCTTTCCTCCATGCTGATGTGGTTACAACTATCAAAGGGTGGGACATAGACTCTTTGGAAAGAGTTGACTTGAAGAAGAATTTAATGGTAGGTAAGGTCAGTGGTAACATTCCTAAAACTGGTGATAGAGTCAAGGAGTGCAGGAGGCTTTTTGATAGAGACAAGAGGTATATGATCACCTGAAGATGATCAGGAATGTCTCATTTCCTTAGCTATAGCATTCCCTTACTACTATTTCTAAAGGTGGTGAATGTGAATGATGTCCTACAAATTGTTATGACATCTGACCTAATGTGTGAACATGAAAGGTTCCTATTGATGTTTGCTTTTGGATTTTCTCATGAGGGGGAGAAATCATCATCTAAAAGAATTTATGGAGAATGGTAGATCACTAGTATGAAGAAGACATATGCTATATGTGGATTCATCATGACCCGCCTTGGTCATCCATTAGTGTTGGTGTGATCATGCCAATTTTCAAGTTGGTGTTGGGACATCATCTCAACATATTATATCTCCAGGAATCAGGAGGATCTATATTTGGAAATTGCTCTAGTTCTCTTGTTTATTTTCTATAAATATTACTTCAGTGGTTCTTTTTTTGGTGATATACTAAAAGTAACACTCTTGGCCTAGTCTGAAGAAGTCAGAGGGGTTGAATAACTATTCTACATGGGTCCGAATTTATGTTTAGTCTCTTTATCCCTAAGAGTGCATTGTATCACTATGGATGTAAGGGGGAGGTGTGCAGGATGTTGTGTAAAGAGTGACCATATTGTTCCTTCATCTAGGGACATGTGAGATGACAATGTTGGAACTTTCAATGGTCAAAGAAAGAGGTGGATCCGTTCTTTTTCTCTCTCCTGAATTGGGTGGTGCACCGATAACAAGAATTATCCTATATTTCTTGGAAATTGCTTGCACTGACCGGTTGTTACTTTACATCAAGGCATCATTACAATCTATAATAACTTCTTGGTGTTTAAATATCCCTTATTAGTTTTTCAGGTTGTGTAGTGTCTTGGTTCCTCTTTGTTTTGTTCATCTGTGTGTCCTTTCATACTCAAGCTCAGTTTTGTCAAATTTTGGCTAAAAATGGGGAGAGATTGAGTCTTGATTTGTTGTTGGTTGTTGCTTCTGGATTGTAACAATTAAGGGGGGTTATGACTTTCTGAGATAAGGGTTTTATGTTCCTTCATCTGATGAGTCTTATGTTTTGGGTATATACAGGATGTTGTTCAAGATGTTCTAACATCTTGTCTGGTCCGTTGTGTCATTTTGATTTTATCACATGATCTTCTAATTCATGATGCTTCTGTCACATGGTCTTTTAACTTGGATCATTCAGGTTATAATTCTTTTTGGTGTTTTGAGGCTGCAGGGAAATTCTCTCGGGGATTTGTGACAAGAATTTGTTATGAGGTTGAGGGGGAGTAAGTTAGTTGAAGATGTAGTTTATCTTCTTCCTCGTGTACACCAAATGTATTCATCTTGGGTGTACTATGCACTAATGAAAGTGTTATTCTCTAGAGTGGTACTTAGTAGGTTTTGAGTTCTATGTTGGACTGCTATGAAGACTTGTCAGAAATGATGTTCTGATATGTTGAGTGTTGTATCCCAATTTTCCCCCCTAAGATCCCTTCATCATACCATGTTGATTCACTCACAACAAGATCACACTAGGACTCTTGGTTCCCCTCCCTACATTTAAGTATGCCCTTTTGAGGGATTACCAAGCACCTTGACTTATGTTCCTTTTGTGATCATGAATATTGTTTTGATTTCTTCATTTAACTAATAAAATGTAATGTTGGCGTGTCTTGCTTGTTATCCATGTAGGTAAAGGCAATGAGATTTAACAAGCTACCCCATGGGTTCATGAGTTTATTTCTATGCCCTAGTCAATAAAGCTTGAGAATTTCAAACCTCACCATTGTATTGGTTTTGGAAGAATTGGCATGGCAAGGTTGCTTTGGTTCATCACATTTCAAGGTTATTAGATTTGACTCAAAAGTACAAGGGGTTGATTGGAGAAGTTGTCATGTTTGGACAAGGCCTTGTTCCTATTGGTCACAAGAGCATATTTCTCTCAGATTTCAAGATATGGAAGTGGTTTTGGTGGCTATGATTCCTCATTATCATCCTCAACAACTTCTATTCACAAAGCAAGAATGTTGGTACAAGAAGTTTATTCAAGCTTGTCAAAGTTCCTCAAAGCATTTTCCTGATCTAGGAGTTAGGGTTTTGAACTTCAAAGGAGTATATCTTGCTCACCTTTTGGTATTTTTTAGTGATTCCAAAGACATAATTCTCTTTAAAGGGTTATTAACAAATCACTTCAAAGGTTCCAATGAGTTTTAATGAGGAAGAGACTTGATGAGGAAGTAAGATTACAAGTCCTCTAGATGAATCCCCAATCTTCCATATGTGACTTCAAATGGTCATAACTTGGTCAATTTTTATCACCTTGAGTCCATTATTTTTCCATAATGATCTTGGAGATGTGAACTTTATGCCTTCTTTTATGTGCAAAGTGGGAAAATGGATGGAAGTTGCCTTAAAGATGCAAAAGATTATAGGTCATTTCATGATTTTTTTTCCAACTTCAACAAGTCATAACTTGCTCAAATTTTTGATATTTTGAATGATTCAAGTTTCAAAATGTCATTCAAGAGATCTAGTTCATGCCATATTTTTTGGTCAAGAGCAAATTCCAAGTGGAATGCCATGTTTGGATGCAAGACATTATAGGTCATTTTTGAAGAAGAATTTAAAATATTTCTAAGTATGGAAAGTCAACCTTTTTTCTCCAACTTTGACTCAATGTAACTTTCAGCTCAAGAATCCATTTAACTCCATTCTTTTTACATTGCAAAGCTTGTAACCTCATCTTTCTAAAGCATCAAGAATCATGCCTTAAGACCCCTTGAGCTGAGAATACCATGGTTTCAAAAATGGTAACTTAGAATTGAAGTTTCCTTGCAAGTCAGAATTTGAATATCATGTTACAACCTCTAAACCTCAAATTAACACGCGTTTTGGGTCTAAACACGATTAGCCAACTTTCCCAAGTGGATTAGCGCATCAAAACGCAAGAATTGGATGAGTTTTGATGAAGTTTGGATCACACTTCACTCGTGCATCAGGTTTGCACGAATTCCCTCCAAAACGCGTCATTCACTCTTCCTTTTGATCCCATTCGCTTCTCCTATAAATACATGAACTACCCCATTCATTTTCCCAAGCTTGGATAGCCAGAATCACCCTGCCAAACTTGTTCCATAACTCAGAATTCAACAACTTCAAAATCCATTCTCGAGCCTTTTTCAATCCAATTTTTCCATCAACTCACCTTCCTTGATCTTCCCTGAAGATAACCATATAATTACATTCAAGAATCGTGCCCTATACTGCTCCATAGAAGTCCAGTTTCAGAGCTCTGCAACTCAACTTCAATAGGTAGATTCCTTCATCAATTCTTCAAAACTCTGATATCATTATGTTGCTCTCATTGCCCTGGTTCTAGTCGCAACACTTGTCTTTTACTGGAAACACGTTTTGACCATGAAATTTCAAATCCCTTTTCAAAACTTTCCTTCCAAATTGCTTGAGCTATGGTTTATATAAATTTGGCGCGAGGGTATGATTGTCTTCGTCTTAAAGAGACGAAGCGAATGGCATAGGTCTGAGCTTTTGATTTTACAGTTTGAGAGACATGCAATTCGTGATGGCTGGAGGTTGAAGATGACCAACGTGTCATCTTCCAACCAATGAAGGCACGCCATCTGTATTTTTTAAATTCTGATTTAATTAATGATTTTGTACAATATTCACTAATGACCATGATATGCACATCGCGCCAGATCCCTTGGATTTGATTACTAACGTGTTTTGACTCTCATCCAATGGTCCACATATTTTACTTTTATTTTCTCTTTCTGATTTTTATATTTTAATTGTTTTAAATTTCAAAAATTCATAGAAAATTCATTTTTAGTCCAAAAAATCTGAAAAAATTATGAAAAATATTTTTGGTTATTCTCTTTCTGATTTTTATTTTTTCACAATTTAATTTTGTGTTTTGGTATTTTTTTATAAATTTTACACTTATTTGATTTGTT